GATCCCCTTTAAATCGACCGGAATTCTCTCTCCAGTGGATGAAAATATCATTCCTCCGGAGCAGAAGAATAAAATTCCCCCCGAATTTCTTTCATTTTTACTTCGGAAACCCGCGGTTGTTTCGATTCTTTTCACATTTTCGCCCTTTCGTTTTCTTAATGGTATAGTCAGGTACGATTTTCCGTAGCAAACGGGTAGTGCACACGATGAGGCTCTTAAATATTCAATCCACAACCGCCGTTGAATCTCTTCTTGCGGGTCCACTTCTTACTCCAACGACAGAAAGAGAAAAAAAAGCAAAAAGAATCGCGGGAGAAGAAAGGAAGAGAGAGACCGAGTGAGTGAGGGGGAGAGAGGGGGAGATGAGGATGAGAAAAAGGGGAAAAAGGAATAACTCCGCGGCTACAGCATACAGGGGAGTGGGTGGGGTTTGGAGTGACGATGGCATTTTTCTTTGATTCGTCTCGTGCACACATACGAGAAGAAAATTCAGGATGTACACTTCATCGGGGTTTTCAGTACGTGTCGGAAAAATGCTTTCCGCCCAGTGGCCCAGGGATTTTTATCGGTGGAAAATAAAACGTCTTGGCTCATTTTGTGGTGATTGAAGAATATCGATCGCATTGGGTCCGGGGTTTTCGACTGAATGGAATTTATCATTCATGGTGAAAATTGACGATTTATTTTCGCTTCCGAGAAGCTTTGTAATCGCTCAAGTCCAAGGATGTCCAAGTATCTTGCAGGTTGGTACAGGGACTGGAGATTCGACCATTTTCATTCATCAAATTTGTCATTTAAAGTAGCTCTACCTTTCGGCCGGGCTACGCTGTACTTTTGGATATTTTCAGTTTTTAAATTTTTCAACTAAATTGCATGGAAAAAATTTGAAAATAGTACATTACGCAACTAGTGCGGAAAGCAGGCGGTTACTCACGAGGGCGGCGCAGCCGCCCGAGTGATACCGCCTGCTGTCCGCACGTGTTGCGTATACTATTTTATATGATAAGTGCGTGATGAAGTCTGCGGGTGGAGGGGGGGGGGAGTGGGGGGCGAAGGCCCCG